ATCTTTCATCAGTGTCTTCTAGTTTTCAGAGTATAGGTCTTTTGCCTCCTTACACAGGTTTATTTCTAGGTATTTTATCCTCTTTTATGTGACAGTAAATGGGATTGTTTCCTTAATTCCTCTCTCTATACTTCATTGTTAGTGTATATACAGATGCAACTATCCTACAATTTTACCAAATTCATTGATTAGCTCTAATAGTTTTCTGGTGGCATCATTAGGATTTTATTATTTACTGCTGCCGCTGCTGCTAAGTCACTTAAGTCATGTCTGACTCTGTGCGACCCCATAGATGGCAGCCCACCAGGCTCCTCTGTCCCTGGGATTCTCCAGGCAAGAATACTGCAGTGGGTTGCCATTTCCTTCTCCAACACATGCATGCATGCTAAGTCACTTCAGTCTTGTCTGACTCTGTGTGATCCCATGGACAGCAGCCCACCAGGCTCCTCTGTCCATGGGATTCTCTTGGCAAGAATACTGGAGTGGGCTGCCATTTCCTTCTCCTTATTATTTACAATTTATGTCATCTGCAAACAAAAACTGTTTTACTTCTTTCCTATTTAGATTCATTTTATTTCTTTATTAAATGAAAGTTTTATTTCTTTACATTAAAAAGATCATACACCATGATCATGTGGGATTTATCCCAGGAATGCAAGGATTTTTCAAATCCACAAATCAATCAATGTGATATACCACATTAACAAATTGAAGAATAAAAACCATATAATCATCTCGGTAGACACATGAAAAGCTTTTGACAAAATTCAACATTGATTTATGATAAAAATTCTTCAGAAAGCAGGCACAGACAGATCTCAACATAATAAAGGCCATACATGACAAACACAAAGGTCATACTTAACGGTGAAAAGCTGAAAACAATTCCTCTAAGATGAGGAACAAGACAATGATGTCCACTCTCACCCTTTTTATTTAACATAATCTTGAATGTCCTAGTCACAACAATCAGAGAAGAAATAAAGGAAATCCAAGTAGGAAACGAAGAAGTAAAACCATCACTGTTTGCAGATGACATGATACCCTATACATTTTATACACAAAAATTCCAAGTGGTCACTCACAATGACATAACTTGAGTTCTGTTACTTTAACTTTATAATCATTGAGCTGTTGTTGCTTACTTCAAACCTGTTGTTTAAATGCAAGAATTATTACCCCAGGAGTCAGAGACAGAAACAATGCTGGAAAACAGCTTGAACCACAACCAATTTATAATTGAAATAAATGAGGTCTACAAATATAAAGAGAGCTGACTGGAGAGTGGAGAATTCTCCAAATTCTATGTAGAAGACTTTCTTAAAAAAAAAAAAAAGGATAAGTTAAATATGGGCTTCACTTGTGGTTCAGATGGTAAAGAATCTGCCTGCAATGTGGGAGACCCAGGTTTTATCCCTGGGTTGGGAAGATCCTCTGGAGAAGCACATGGCAACCCACCTGCCTGGAGAATTTCATGGACAGAGGAACCTGGTGAGCTACAGTCCATGGGGTCACAAAGAGCTGGACACAACTGAGCAACTAAGCACAGAACACACATAAGTTATATGTGCTAACCTAGAGCTAAGGTATATATTACATTATTAATACTCACCAGTGACTGGAGCAATTGTTTACAATTTAGATCAACATTAAGACTTTTCTAAGAGAAGTATTTTAATCACTAACATTGCTTAGAAGTGCCAGATCTTGGTACTAATGACAAGCAGCCTGATATTATTATAATAATCTTTAAATTCTCAGAAAATTTATAGCTTGATTGCCTGTACCTAGGGAGGACTTCTCTCACCACCTAGCTTTAGTTCACCCTGGTAGTAGGTCTCAAAGAATTTAAGTTGGGAAGCTGGGAGGCTATTAGTTAGTATTAAGTATAAAGTATCCTTTAATGACTAGGTGGGTTATCTTGCACCCTTCAGCATCAGTCATCTGCTGCTCTGCTTCTAGAGTTCCTGCCACTTCCACTCTTCCCTGGGCCATCTCATGGCTTATGCTTACTACCGTACTTAACCATCTTTCAGCCTCTACCCTTCCTGTGAACTCCTTTGAACTGTTAACTTAATTGGTTGTCTTGCATTCCAGTCATCAAAAGAAGAACCAGTAACAAAACATTTTGTACCAGGCCCCCACAGGCTATTACCCAGTCTGCAGATTGACTGCCTTTAAGTCAAGCACCCAGTCCTGGGCAACCACCAAAGGCCAGAGTGGCAGGGCCATGTGGTCGACTTTGCTGAGGAGAAGTCTGGGCAAGGCAGGCATTCAAATTGGTTTCTCTCCCCAGACACTTCTTTTTCTCTCCTTTTTCTTTCTTTCTTCTTCCCTTTCCCAGCTCTTAATACTTGTCTGCTGCTTTCTCTTCTCTCCCTCTTTACCTTTCCCCTGTTTCCTCTCTCTGATAGTCTCTGTAGATATACAGATATGAAGCTTCACAACTTGATATTCACCGCTCACTCTTTAAAAATCTTAATTTGTTTCCATTACAGCATCAAGTCTCTTATGCTTAACTAAAAGCAGATAAGAAAATTGGTAACTTAATTCATCATCCTTTAAGTAATTCCAAGTTGACTTTTTGTCTTTGTTCTATTATGTTTTAAACCTAATTCTTTAACCAGTAATGAAAAAAATCCACCCCCCCCAAATCATTATTTGTGTAACTTACTAAACAGTCTCTTTCAGTGTAAACAGTAAACTTTCAGGAAGAGTGCTGTATTTGGGGAAAGAAGAGTCAGAATTTACTGCTCCAAAGTCCCTCTGAGAACTATTCATCATTCAAGCATTTCATAAGCTGTTGTCTTTTCATTTTTACTCCCACATGTCCTATTTTGCTTTCTTCCCAGATTGTAGATGTCTTGTAGCAGACAGGAAGGAGTAACCACATTAAACATGATAAAAAAGAGCAGTGGAGAGATTATCAGCCCCACTCACACAGCAGCTTGATAGCACTGCCCTGATCAAGAAAGTTTCCTGTACTCCAGCCCTCTATTTTTTTTCTGAAAAGAAAAATCTAATTTAACAAGAAAGTTTTATAAGAATTGCTTTTAAAAACATCACATTATTTTCAAGTTTTAAATGTTTCCTCCAAAGTGAAAGTCACTCAGTCGTGTCCAACTCTTAGTAACCCCATGGACTAAACAGTCCAGGGAATTCTCCAGGTCAGAATACTGGAGTGGGTAGCCTTTCCCTTCTCCAGGGTATCTTCCCAACCCAGGGGTTGAACCCAGGTATCCCGCACTGCGGGTGGATTCTTTACCAGCTGAGCCACAAGGGAAGCCCAAAGTGGGTAAGAATTTTTGCCTAGCTACTATTATAACTACGGATACATTGCTCTTTCATTCCCAGAAGAAAATGGACAAGAAACTTTGCTGTTGTGGCTGCAGGAAGGTGGCCAAATGGTTCTACAATACTTCGCACAATCTAGTTCCACACCCATTATGTCTAACAGGTCACAAACATTTATCAATAAAATATGGTCTAACCTTTAGGAGTTCACAATCATAATGTACTGTTGTTCTTCCAAACAGCCATTGCCAAAGCCTTCACTTTTTCCTTCCTTTTAACTCTTAACAATTTGGCACCCTGCCCTCCCCCAACTCTCCATCAGCATTTACTGTTTTTATCATAACTGTATGTACATCTGCCTTTGTCCTAGGAGGAAAGACTCTCTCTTCTGTATCACCAGGCCTAGCATAGCACATAGAACAGTTGGCAAAGCAAGGGTTATTGCATAAACTACTATCATCATCCAAGTAACAGCTACCATTTCCAGAGCACTTACTGTGTAAACTACTAAGATAGTTATGAAAACAGATGCACCTGACAATTGGTATTACTGACCTGGAAGTTGGGAGTCTTATCCCTACGAAGGAGCCCTTGATGCACTATGGCAGAAGTTAACTACTAACAGTTTACCTACATTATCCTGAAGGCTTTCCCTGAGCAGACCATCCAGTCCAAGCAGCACCTCAGTTACCCTCCAGCACATGCTACTGTCTAATATATTCCTGTTTAATGATGTCTCCCTCACTATAATAAAAGCTCCAAGAGAACAGTCTTCTTGCCTAACTTGGGCAGGTAGAAAGTTAAATAAATGAATCTAAGCTTCCATTTCCTTGGGTGGCCGTGTTGACTTGCACACAGATCACAAGCAGGTTTTAATATTTATGCTTAAATTTCAGGATAATTGTGTTGAATATCTTATGGTCCAAAATGAACTCTGGGAGTGGAATAAAACTAAAAGTTCCGTCACATTCCCCCTAGCACGGACTGACATGGTTGCTGGAATTTTTGCTGCAACAGGAAAGCCACTTCCTCTGACGTAAGGTGGCCCACATGCCTGCGTCTTGCCACATCCTCTGATAACAGAATTCAGGATGGCTAGGCTGGCTGGGGCGGTCAGGATTCCAGACGCTCACGCTAACGGAGCCGGGAGTTCAGGGGTCTCTGGACCCCTCTGGCCTGCAGTCTGCCGTGAGGAGGTGAGCAGGAGGGTCTCCGCGGATTCTGGCGTGTCCGTAGGACGGCTGTCCGCCTAGGGGCGCCCCTTCCTATTGCGTTCCGCTTCCTTTACCTCCAAAGCCCAGAACGCACCTCCAAGCCTCCAAAGGGCGACGTCATTGATTCCCCTGTCACGTGAGGAAGGCGCGACAGTGTCCACAGGCTCCCGGCAGGGCAGAAGCCTGGCGGGGTGCTGGACCGGGTCCAGGACAGGCCTTCCCGAGGCCTGCCTCAGATTCCCGCCCGTTCCGGACTCTCGCCCCTGTCGCCGCCGCGGCCAGACGCCAGACGCCAGACGCGGCCCCGCCCACCCCGCAAACGACCTGGCCCCGCCCATAGCTCCGGCCGCGACCCCGCCTATCTGGACTCGCTTTGGGCCCGCCCCTGGAAGCCCAATTTATTCCGCCTCCAGCACTTACACCGCCAGAACCAGCAGGCTAGTGGCTGTCGGTGCTGCACCTCCTCCTGCTCCCCGCGTCACTGCTGCCGCCATGCCCGGAGGTCTCCTCCTCGGGGACGAGGCTCCCAACTTCGAGGCAAATACTACCATCGGCCGCATCCGTTTCCACGACTATCTGGGAGACTCGTAAGTGGCCACTTCGTCGCCCTGCCGTAGCCTCGGGTTATGCCCGGACTCAGGGGTGCCTTCCCTTTTTCCTCCCTTCGGTCCTCCTCACCGCTCGGCCCCTGCTCGTCGCCTGCCTCCTCCCCGCACCGGTTCCTGCACGTGCGTCTCGTTGTCTGGCCGCTTCTTCGCGGCGGCGCTGCGGAGCGGCAGCGACCCTCCGGCCCGCCCTGCACCGGCACTTGATCGCCTCTCGCTTCTCGGCCCCCGCGTGGTTGGGGTGACTCCCGGATGAGGAAGGGGGAGGGGGAACAAAATTGGGTTCCCGCGGGTCCCAGGAATGGGAGGCCAGTGCGGAGGAGAGTTTGAGTCTATTTAGCTCTGTTGGGTAAACTGCGAGTAGCAAGGTCCAGCCGAGGCCGGGAGGGGGAAGGGGCCGGGCAGCATCGGCGGTCAGTTCCCGGGACTCGTGCCCAGGGTCGTACCTCCCTCACTCCCTCCGTTCTGCAGTTCGTTCCCCGGGGAAGGTGGGTAGCCAAGGCCAGTCAAAGGACACTCCTGCTGGCTCAAGGTTTAGGAAGGGCCCAGCGTGTTATCTGAGGGTTCTGCTTGCTGCAGTGGTATTTGCAGGCTTCTCAGCACAAAAAAATTTAAACCACCAGCTGCCAAATTGATGACTGGAAAGACTTTTTGTCCAAAGCCTCCGCCAGCTGCTAGAATTTGATTTGATAACGGCTTTGGGAGGAACCCAGAACACTCTGTGTGCGGTTGTGTCCTTTATTCCAGAACTTGCAGCACCCTGAGGGAAGGGCTTTCTGAGGTTGTTCAGTTTGCAGTAACTATGGGTATGTCATGGACACCAACACCTCCCAGTTGGAGGCCCTTGTGTTTAACAGCAGAGTGCTTCTTACTGCCCCTCCCCCTTCTGCCTAGCTCCCTGCCGCACGTAGCCTTGCCAAACTGGTGACCCGTGATCTAGCCTAGCAATCATACTATTATGACTAGGAGTATATTGGTGGAACTGTGGTTTTACAGCTTCTGAATCAGCAAACTTCAAGTTGATTAGATTTAATATGAAACATCCCAGCTGAGTCTAGCTATATTGTGGTTCTGGGGTTCCAGTGCCTGCCCCCGCCCCCCCCCACGCACTGTGGTCTAAGGCTTTACAATCCCTTCTTGCTTTGTATCCCTTTTATAAAGTGTCCAGGTGTATATATTACAGAGGGTGAACTTTATGAGATGAATTAATGATAGGCCAAACCTCTGTAGAGCACCTGGGAGAGATTCTTAGGCCTAACCGACTTCTTCGAAGTGTGTTAGTTGCTCGGTTGTGTCTGACATTTTCTGACCCCATGGATTGCAGCCTGCCAGGGAGAATCCATGGGATTCTCCAGGCAAGAATACTGGAGTGGGTAGCCATTTCCTCCTTCAGGGATCTTCCCAACCCAGGAATCAAACCCGGGTCTCCCACATTGCAGGTGGATTCTTTACCACCTGAGCTACTGGGGATTTTTTTCCAACCACTGATTAAGGGAAAAGCTAAGTTCTTTGAAAGAGAGGACTAAGCTAGAAAAAGGAGGAGAAATGGAACACTCAGACCTTAAAAGCAGGCAAAGACTAAAGAAATACAGACCATGTCCAGTATCTAGGTCTTAGTATTTCTCCAAAACTCCATGGGATTTTCAGAGAATGTTTCTTCCCATTCTTAACCTACAGCCCCCACCCACATAAAACAAAATCTTGCCAAAGCTCTTAGGTTGTATAGATTGAAGCTAAATATTATTATGAAGCATATATTTATTGTAGCAATAGTTATAATGATGTCACCATTTAAGCTAACCCTACTTGTTTGGATTTTTTGTTGATCTGATTAAAAGTGGTACCTTCTCAGGGAACCAGCAATAGGAAGATGAGAGAGAAAACTGCATCTATAAACAAATAATACACAAGTCTGCCTTGGGTCAAGTATGAGAGAGTACTATTTCCTGTCTTACCCCAAAAATAAGTTTGAGCCTTTTATAACACTATAATAAATGGATTGTGCTGAATATAATTTTTCCCAACTCCATTCTTCATGTGATTTCAGTTCAGACTATCAATTTTTGATCAGATGTGTTTTGGAGAAAAAAATTATGATTTCAAACATCACAGGTACCTACCCTTCCCCTGGACAATTGGAAACAGCCAAGGGGTTTGGGATGAGTTTATTGAGCCCAATCACCATATATATGTGACAGAAGCAGCTTCTTCACAGTACATCTTCACCAAACAAAACGTGGGTTTTCCTTGGGTTTTTCCAGGGCGATAGTGAGTTGGGACCATCTCCCTTAAAGGAGGAAACCTTTTTGTCTTTTGAAAATGAAGGAAGGAAAGGGGATACTGTAATTGTATTCCTCTGAAGAGCAGCAGTAGGGAGACTTAGAGGGGAACAGGCCACAGTAAGACATTCTCAGGAGTTATGCTGTTCCTAGCCAGGAGCAAACTATAGAGTGTGGCTTCTGAAGGGGAGGATGTGAAGTGGCTTCAGACAGGTTTCCTTAACATGATTCAGCAAAACAGTGTCTTGACTCACAATGCAAAGAGAAGGCCTGATTTTTCTAACTAATCACCTCTTTAACAATACAAGAGGAACTGCCCTGTTTATTTTTTTTCTCAACTTCTGGAGACTTTGCTTAAGTCTCATCTGACCCTTAAATAGATCCTTCACCACAGACTCTAAGGCCTAGATTGTACTCATAACTAGGTTAATTATTTTTAAACATTTTAAATAAATCTCTTATTGCCCTTTATATATATAAAAAAGTAAACATACCACACCCTCCCACAATCTTAAAAATATTACCTTTCTCTTCCCAGTCTTGCCGCAGGGCCATCCATCCTTTTTATAAGAAGGTCTTTTCCTTTCCTGAAACCTTGGGAGCTGAGTGGCAGATGTAGGTGGGAATTAGGTACCCTGTCTCTGCGTTCTTCTTTGTGCTTCAGGAAATTTGGCAAACTTCGAGGAGGTCAGTGTGGCGTCTAGGCTACCGTGAGTAATCTACTAGTTTAAGGTCCTGCTTTAATGTTGTTAGGTCAACTAGAGTGTGGAAACTGAGTGTTAGATTTTCAGTTAAAAGAATAGTTTCTGCTGCCCAGAAGACAATACTCCAAAGATTCTTGGTGACTTAGCTTGAAATGTGCTTAAAATTTATACAAGTTTAATCTTAGGCAATGATGATTTAGATAATACTATTTCCCTAAGAATCTTTAGTTGTAGAAATCAACATTGAAGGCTGTATTTTTTCTACCCGCTTGGTCTAAAGGAAGAAGAAACTGCATGTGAAGAGATAGGTGAAACTCTTAAAATGCTGTTGTTTTGTCAGGGTACAAATATTGGGTGTCCTGTTTAGCAAGTTAGATCAGTAAACTAGTTTTACAAAAGTTTTTATATCTGTTCACGTAAAAGAAGCCAAGTGTCAGCTTTAACTTTACATATAAATAGAGGATAGAAGCCTATTTATTTCAGGTTACATAATGTGTTTATTATTTAAGTCAGGCATTGGTCTAGGTTCAAGCATACTGGCTCATCCATTATTGGAGGTGAATGTCAGCATATCTGTGCTTAGAAAAAAATGTAGAAAGTGTAAAGGAGGGGAGAAGCTATTTTAGTAAGTATTTAGTTTGAATAGCACAGATTTTTTTAACTGAAAAGGACTCAGGGTGGCTCTGGAGTTACTAAAGTAGGCAATACCCTGACAGTCTTTTTAAATATTTACCATATTGAATTTCATATATTTGATTGAATTGGGCATGAAACAGGTTTTTTTGGAGATAATTGAAAAGCATTCCACAGCAGAAAAGTTTAAAAGTGATTGTCTTCCAGTATGGTACTGGCACAAAGACAGAAATATAGATCAATGGAACAGAATTGAAAGCCCAGAGATAAATCCACGTACCTATGGACACCTTATCTTCGACAAAGGAGGCAAGGATATACAATGGAAAAAAGACAACCTCTTTAACAAGTGGTGCTGGGAAAACTGGTCAACCACTTGTAAAAGAATGAAACTAGAACACCTTCTAACACCATACACAAAAATAAACTCAAGATGGATTAAAGATCTAAATGTAAGACCAGAAACTATAAAACTCCTAGAGGAGAACATAGGCAAAACACTCTCCGACATAAATCACAGCAAGATCCTCTATGACCCACCTCCCAGAATATTGGAAATAAAAGCAAAAATACACAAATGGGACCTAATTAAACTTAAAAGCTTTTGCACAACAAAGGAAACTATAAGCAAGGTAAAAAGACAGCCCTCAGATTGGGAGAAAATAATAGCAAACAAAGCAACAGACAAAGGATTAATCTAAAAAATATACAAGCAGCTCCTGCAGCTCAATTCCAGAAAAATAAATGACCCAATCAAAAAATGGGCCAAAGAACTAAACAGACATTTCTCCAAAGAAGACATACAGATGGCTAACAAACACATGAAAAGATGCTCAACATCACTCACTATCAGAGAAATGCAAATCAAAACCACAACGAGGTACCATTACACACCAGTCAGGATGGCTGCTATCCAAAAGTCTACAAGCAATAAATGCTGGAGAGGGTGTGGAGAAAGGGGAACCCTCTTACACTGTTGGTGGGAATGCAAACTAGTACAGCCACTATGGAGAACAGTGTGGAGATTTCTTTAAAAACTGGAAATAGAACTGCCATATGACCTAGCAATCCCACTCCTGGGCATACACACCGAGGAAACTAAATCTGAAAGAGACACGTGCACCCCAATGTTCATCGCAGCACTGTTTATAATAGCCAGGACATGGAAGCAACCTAGGTGCCCATAAGCAGACGAATGGATAAGGAAGCTGTGGTACATATACACAATGGAATATTACTCAGCCATTAAAAAGAATTCATTTGAATCAGTTCTAATGAGATGGATGAAACTGGAGCCCATTATACAGAGTGAAGTAAGCCAGAAAGATAAAGACCAATACAGTATACTAACTCATATATATGGAATTTAAGAAGATGATAACGATAATCCAATATGCAAAACAGAAAAAAAGACAGACAGATGTACAGAACAGACTTTAGGACTCTGTGGGAGAAGGCTAGGGTGGGATGTTCTGAGAGAACAGCACTGAAACAAGTATACTATCAAGGGTGAAACAGATCACCAGCCCAGGTTGGATGCATGAGACAAGTGCTCAGGGCTGGTGCACTGGGAAGACCCAGAGGGATGGGATGGGGAGGGAGGCGGGAGGGGGGATCAGGATGAGGAACACATGTAAATCCATGGCTGATTCATGTCAATGTATGGGAAAAACCACTACAATATTGTAAAAGTAATTAGCCTCCAACTAATAAAAATAAATGAAAAAAAAAAAGTGATTGTCTTCATGCGTGCATGCTAAGTCATTTCAGTCCTTCAGTCATGTCCCAAATGGAGTGGGTTCCCATGCCCTCCTCCAGGGGAATCTTCCTGACCCAGGGATGGAACCCACATCTCTTACATCTCTGGCTTTGGCAGGTGGGTTCTTTACCACTAGCACCACCTGGGAATCCCCAGTTGTCTTCATAAACATTTAAAAAGAAAGCATTTAAAAAGATGTTGGTGATCATCTCTTCATTCACTTGTGACCTTCTTTTCCTTATTCAGATGGGGCATTCTCTTCTCCCACCCTCGGGACTTTACCCCTGTGTGTACCACGGAGCTCGGCAGAGCAGCGAAGCTGGCACCAGAATTTGCCAAGAGAAATGTTAAGATGATTGCTCTTTCCATAGACAGTGTGGAAGACCATCTTGCATGGAGCAAGGTACTACCTGTTGGCAGAAGCTTTGAGGTTATAGATCATGTTATAAATTTTATAGAGTAGCTTGGCTTTTTTGAGGTGAAGGTGAGATTTTCTTTGATACTAAATGATAGAGAGTAGGAATTAGCTTGAATTAGGATAGAATAAAGCCAAAGCATATGGTTCTTTGCTTTTCAGGGGTGTAATGTAATGCCTGTCATACAAATAGCAGGGTTGAGAGTTACTGCATAGCAATCAATGAGACTACAAGTGGCAGAAGGAAGAGTTTATAGCCAACTATATAATACTCTTTAAAGTATAGGAACACACCCAGGTTCATGTTTCCTGGTGAGCTTGTGCCTTAGAATATTCAGAATTGTGATCACATTAAATAGGAGACAAGTCCCAACTTTACACCTGGTTATGTAGGAAACCTCAAGGTGCCTGTGGCATGAAACCATGTTGGTTGTTATTTTACTGGTGGTGACGTGATAGACTGCTAGTGACAGAAGGAAGAAAGTTAAGCCCATAGAATTAAGAAACATGGTATAATTTGTTATCCATTTCAAAGTTCATGAATGCTACGTTTATCCTGTGGCGTCTCTGTGGCGTCTCTGAAATCCACAGAGGTTCTTAATCTGCTATGCCACCAACTCCTGTTTTACTTTCAAGGCGTCACAGAATGCATAGACCTTATTCCAGCATTAACTCTTTTTCCTGACTTCCTAAAACTCTACCCAGATAAATTCCTCATTCTCCAGTCAATAGTTTATGCTCAGACTTGCCTACATGTTTCATTAATATTGCTCCCTCTCCCTAGAATGTCTTCCTTTACCTTGTGAAAATTGTATCCATCCTTCAAGGCCCAAGTCAAAGTCATACCCCGTCCTTAAACCCTTGCCTGGCTCAGCAGTCGTACACATGGGGAGGATGGTGTACTTCAGCTTCTGCCATTTGCATATTACCATCTTGCATTTGCTGCTACTTCTTACGGAAATCATCTAACCAAATTAGAAGTTCCCTTAGAGGCAGGAACTTTACTTATCTGTATCCCACATGTACTTACCATAATGCTTAGCCTACCTCAAGTGCAATTTCAATGCCAGATCAAATAATAAAGCTAGATTTTTTTTTTCCCCAAAAAAACTTCCCAGGATAGAAAAATGTATAAAGTTTTTTCACTAGGGGAGGAAGGCATTGAGAGCGGAAGCAAGTACATGTCCTTCAATTCAGACTTGGAATGCTTTGCTTTTTATGTGGATTTCACCCTAGTGTAAATTCACCTCTGCCTTTTTATCTGTAAGAGATTTACCTTTGACTTGTTCCTGAAGTGAATATTCAACTCTATTCTTTTTGCTCTAAGCTTTGTATTTCTTCTCATTTCTTAATATCTTTGTTTTCAGTAGCTTAATGTCTGAGTCAGGGTGCTTTTGAGGCAGGGGTCAGATCAGTACCATATCTACAGAATTATCTTTGCCTGTGACATAATTTCTGGATGTGAACCCATTGTTACTGATGGTTTTTTTTTTTACAGTGTTTGGGTACTCAGGTACCTGGGATTGACATCTTAACTCTGTATTATTCCACTTTTAGAGAGTTTAATGCTGCTTTCTCAAAGCAATAAAAACATGCTGAATTTGAAGAGCCTTGAGCATGAAAAGGCTCTAGATTATAACCTAAGTACTATACCCTACTGTTATTTCTGTCAGTAAACAGTTGGGATAAGGAGTGTTCATTTATAAATTTTCTTATTGTGTAGAGAAATTATTATGATTATGGTCCTCTCTTCCCTGTCTTACAAAATGATGGCTGTTAACTGATTGCATTTAGAGAATATGCCTGCTTTAGACTTCCCTTTTTCCCTTTCCCCTTCATTTCAGGATATCAACGCTTACAATGGTGAAGAGCCCACGGAAAAGTTACCTTTTCCCATCATTGATGATAAGAATCGGGACCTTGCCATCCAGTTGGGCATGCTGGACCCAGCAGAGAAAGACGAAAAGGGCATGCCTGTGACTGCTCGTGTGGTGAGTTGTGTACATTCACTACTAGATAATCTGAAAACACCAAAACATCTATCCGAGTAAATGCTTGGGGCAACTCAAGTAAATGGGTGAACATCTCCAGTTAGGAAATAAGTGTCTGCTGGCACTCTCACTTTTTCTCTAAATGCTGGTACAAAGTAAAATTTTTCAGCTAACTTATTAATAAACTGCTTAATTCACAGCTTTTGGAAATCTACATAAAAATAGTTATCCTAACATGTCATCTAGAATTGTGAAATCTTTTGCTATAGTTCTCCTGACAGCCCTCTCTTTAAAAGCAGTGGGTCATAGCCTTCTTCATAAGGCATCTCTTGTTTTGAATTCTTATTTGTTCTGTCCTTATCCACCAGAGAACAAACTTATTCCCACATCTGCAAAAATATATAAAATTTTGAGGACCAGTGTCAACTCCCATGGGGCTTCCCGAGTGACTCAGTGGTAAAGAATCTGCCTGCCAAAGCAGGAGACGTGGGTTTGATCCCTGGGTTGGGAAGATCCCCTGGAGTAGGGAATGGCAACCCACTCCAGTATTCTTGCCTGGGAAATCCCATGGACAGAGGAGCCTGGCAGGCTATGGTCCATAGGTCACAAAAGAGTTGGACATAACTTAGTGAGTAAACAATACCATCAACTCTCATTAGTATTATTTTTATGAGTATTTCCCATAGTTAACATAGTACCTTCCTGAGGCTTTTCTGGATTCAGTTCACAAGTCTGTTTTTCTTACTGAGATAGCCAAAACCAAATCTAATTCCCTTCAAGTTTAGGAATATAACATATAGAAGAAAATCATAACTATTCCAACTACCCAGTTTGTTTGGCATATCTTTCCAGATACTTGGGGGCTTTTGTTATTTTGTTTTGTTATGCCCTTGAACATTTTTAATGACTAAAGAGCCTTATAAGAGGCTTTAATATCAAAAACATGCAGAGAGTTCTTCCTGTTTATGTGTCTGTGTACTTTGCAGGTGTTTATTTTTGGTCCTGATAAGAAACTGAAACTGTCCATCCTCTACCCAGCTACCACTGGCAGGAACTTTGATGAGATTCTCAGAGTAATTATCTCTCTCCAGCTGACAGCAGAAAAGAGGGTGGCCACCCCGGTTGACTGGAAGGTAAAGATGCTAAGAGGGCAGAACTTTAGCCACCCCAACTTGCCTGGAAGGCCTCTGGGGCCATCTGAATGGCTCCCTTTAGGGTGTTATCTAGGGCTGTGTTTCTGGCATGCAAATATACTGAGAGGATTTTTTCCTCCTTGCTGAGTTTAGGATTTACTGAGAGGCCATTTTTCAGTGTCTTTAACACCTTTTATACACACAAACTCCCTATATTTCTAACTTTTAGGTTATTTGGACAGATTAATTGGTTAGAATGATTCCTTTTCCTAAATAAAAGGATTTTAAAAAAAAAAAAAACTTGAACTCTTCCTGATGGCAAAACATTTATAGCAGAACTTAGTTTGACCACTTAAGTCATGGGTATAAAACTATTTGGTGTATTAATGTCTTGAAACATTTCTCTTAAGCTTCTGTCTTTTAAACCCATATAGAATTCTCTGAAACCTGTTCATGGATTTTTAATCTCTATCATTCCTGCAATATGTAGGACATGGATAATATCACAAGAGTGTCTTAATGTCGCTACATTCTTTAATCTGCTAACCTGAATACCTGGTCTTGTTATTTTGTTTCATCTGACTGGCAGACCATTGAAATTCTGTGTCCATTCACTGAACCTATGTTTACTGAGCCCAGACCATGGGCACTGGGATTTAGCAGTAAACAATCAGTGTAAAGTTACATTTCAGTGGGTAAAGACCACAGTAAAGTTTATAGTACCTTAGGTGACAGTGTATGACAGAGAGTAATCATGCAAAGGTGGGGAAAAGGGGAGCAGAGGTGGGAGGGGTTGCTTTTATGTTTGGCTGTCAAGGAAGGAAGGCGCTTCTCTGAAGAGACCTTTGGGGAAGACATAAAGAAAGCTGGAGACCAAGTCATGCATCTTTATGAGGGAAGAGCAGAGCAGGCTTAAAGGAACAGCTAAGGAGTTTTCCTAAAAGTGAGCTTGGCACATTCAAGGAACAGGAGAGCCAAAGCCTGGAAAAGGCAGGAGTTGAAGGTAGGGACCAAGGGTGAAAGAGGAAGCTGGGTTCAGTCACACAGGGTAGTGAAAAGGACTTATTTAGAATTAAATTTTAAAATGCAGTAGCAAACCATTATTGGGTTTAAAGCAGGACTATTTCTTGTTAAGGTGGGGAAATTGTCAAAGATCAATTTGTGAAAGCAGAATACCTCAGGGGGAGAGAGCAAAGCAAAGGAGACTTGATTATTGTCATCATGAAAGATTGAATTTCACCATTCTCAATGTCTTTTCAACAGAATGGGGACAGCGTGATGGTCCTTCCAACCATCCCCGAAGAGGAAGCCAAAAAACTTTTCCCTAAAGGAGTCTTCACCAAAGAGCTCCCATCTGGCAAGAAATACCTCCGCTACACACCCCAGCCATAGGCTCGCCACAGAGTTGGTTCTGGAGCTGCCCACTTAGCACCATGAGCCAGAGGACGCCCGCTGTCCATCATGTTTCCCCACAGCAGTCCATTAAAAACATTCTGGTGTGATCACAGCCAAGGTCTTTAGATTGCTATACTACTGGCTTATTAAATGAAAACAGCAGTAAAAATTCCTTGGGATCCTTTGTGCCTTCAGCAGCTTTTTCCTCTGTTCATATATCTTCGCACTCTCTGCTGACTCTCCTCGAAATTTGAGACTTATCTTGGATCTCTGCAGGGTTTATGACCAAGAGGTGGTGTCAGTTTATGGTCAAAAAAGCCTGCTTTGCTCCATCATTACTGTGTTGGCCAAAATGTTCATTTGGCTTTTTAAAACGTGAACGAACGTTTTGGCCAAGCCAATAGAATGACTGTCAGGTTTGGGTTTGGGTTTTTTTTTTTTTTTTTTCTCTTCTAATCAAATCCTCTGTTACCCATTTTGTGAAGGAATAGAGCTTGGGGTTCAACTTCCTCTGTACATATCTATGTGTGTAACCTAAGAACTTAGAGTAACCCGGAAGTTCTTCAGTATTTCATGTTTTGATCACAACTGGGGGAAAAAAACCTTTTCAATTCAGTACTTTTCTAGTAGATAAATGAAAGATGAGCCTGGGGAAAGAATCTTTAAATATTTTGCTATCAAGAAAATTTTTCAGTAAATTTCTATTGAAAGCAAGAAGCTACGGAAAAGGCTCCACTTGCCTGCCAGAGAGGTGTAGCAGAAGGCATGACAGTGCCAGATGCCTTTTGGAGAATTTCTGGATGTCAGTCTGTTCTACGATGATGTGCGTGTCAAAGGGCCCGCCGTGGGGAGAGGGAGAGGACGACTGAAAATGTTTATCTATTCTTGCAGTGGGGGAGGGAGATGTTTTTCTGAATTTTGCTTCTTAGGGATCAGCAAATAAATCCTTTTGTCTAAAACGTGATCAGAGAATTCTGTTGTCACATTTTGAGGTACTAGTTCAGACTCATATCCTGAGGGCAAGATGTCTCCTTGCTAGGACTGACACTGATGCTTCTCTCCAAAGACAGATGTATAAAAGTTCATGTAATGAAAACGGAGGAGCTGCTGATGAAAATGTGATCCTGCCACATCTCCTGGCCTACTTAGCACCTTCGTATTAGTTACGTGGGCCCTGTGTAATCTCTGACCCCTGCAACAAAGAGTTCCTCTAACCTAATACCTTAACAGGAGGTGCTGGATTTAAGTATGGGACATCTTTTGCTTTTCTGGAAAGAGTACGAAGGATTCCTAACTCAAGAATCTCTCAGACTTACTATACTGTCCTAGGTTTAGAAAGAAGGGTCCCACACCTGGTATAATCTCTTGCATGTAGCCCTCTATACTTTTATTGAGTAGAATAACATAAAATCTGATCCCTGGTGCTGTGTTTTAGAGAAGTCATTAATTTTTCATTTCCTTGATTTCACCACGTGTAAAATTTGGGTGATGCTAAGAAGGTTGAGAAGGAAGGTGAAAATTCCAAGCCATATCCTTGGGAATGCTGGTCTGAGAGAGACTTGGCTGGCATCTTGCTGTCGCCTCTTCTCCAAGTCACTGTGTTTTGTGCTTAAAGAATTAAGACTATCTGGTGCTCTTTAGCACATCTCTTGAGTAACCCCTGGCTCCTCAAATCTTGTCACCTCCGTGTTAGGTTCCTCACTGTTCTCTTCCCTTGGCTATTCGCCTTCAGTCCTGCCTCTCAGAGAGTCTGGCTTAAGTCTAAATCTCCAACATTAATTATTCACACATCAGTCTTACCTTTACTGACTGATGGGACATCGGCCATTAAATTTATAAATTCAAAATCAAATTCATCAATTATTCCCCCAATAAATACATTGCCCCTCTTATCACTCAGGCATACAAACCTTGATGTTTTGTTTAGCTATATCTATCTACCCTACCCACATAGATTATGTCAGTATAAAAATGCTGAAAAACTCAAGGAAAAGGGAGGTCATGTACCCACAAATTAATTTCTGGTTCTATCACAAAGCAGCCATGAAGCCATGGGAGTGTGAGTATTCTCCAAATGTAAAATGTTACATAATGAATATGTGCTGAGAGGGTAGCAGTCTTTTTTTTTTTAACTTGGCATGGGAAGGAGAATTCCCCTTTCCAGAATTGTTGCTCTCAATTTCATAGAATAGATTTAATAAATCCAAAAATTTGTTAGGTGAAAATGAATTATATGGCTGTTGTGGCTGAGAGAAGCTTAAGAATTTAAGAGGCAGTCTACTGGGTGACTTCTCTAAGAATCAGCAAATGCTTTGGCTAGAAGAGAGAGCCATCTAAGATTTGCAAAGTGACTTGAGGTTCCTGGGTGGTCTTGGCAAAAGTCTGACCTTACCTCCAACCATCCCCCTGAGGGTAAGAATCCTCATTGAGAGGCTCTGAAAGGGGTAAAGAGCTAGAATGGCTGTGTCTAAAGGGGCATGTCAAGATGCCACTTGGATGCAGTGAACTGGCATAGTGATCTACTCGATTTGACCTCCACCGCTTTGGGCAATGCAAATTGAGGAAATACAACTTTGATTCAAACTTAAAGGGTACGTACCTTAACTAGTTAAAAAGGCATTGCCACTTTGTCAGTGATTGGTTCAGCATTGAGCACTGAGACACAAATAGAGGATCATGAGTTTCTACAAGAATTCTTTCTCAAGAGCAACTAGAAGCTGTTTTTCTCTCTCATACTGAATATAAACAAGAAAACATGAGACACTGCTGCTGCAGCTAACTTACAACCTGGGAGCAGGGATCCAGCCATAGAATGAGGCTGTAAAAAGGTCAACAGCCAAGTTGAGAGAAAGGAAAACATCTGACCCTTCATGATCTTCACTGAGTCTTAACAAGTGTGAACCCGTCCTACCTCTGGACTACTATAACATAAAATAATAAATTACCAGACTTCCTTGGTGGCTCAGTGGTAAAGAATCTTGTCTGCCAATGCAGAAGACATGCATGCGTTTGATCCCTGATTCAGGAAGATCCCACATGCCACAGAGCAACTAAGCCTGTGTGCCACAAGTATTGAGCCTGTGCTTTAGCGCCCCGGAGCCGCAGCTAATGGCCCCACGTTGTTACCGCAACAACTGAAGCCTGTGCACCTGAGAGCCTGTGTCCCGCAAGAGAAGCCACCACAATGAGAAGCCCACACACCGCAACTAGAGAGAAGTCCCCACTCTCCGCAACTATAGAAGAGCCTGCGCAGCAATGAAGACCCAGCACAGCCAAAAATAAGTAAATAAAATTTTTTTAAGTAATAAAAATAAATCACCTTAGTGTTTAAGCCTCTTTAAGTTGGGTTTTCTGGTACCTGAGGCCAAAAGCATCCTAACTGATACACATAGAATTAAGTGTCCTCTGGTTATTTCAAATAACATGATAAGGTGCCTCATAAGATTGTAGACCCCACCACAGGCTGACATCTGTTTTTTTGCTACTTCTTTATCCCCTATCTTGTGGAACTCAAGCTTCAGTATGCATTAAACTACATGAGGAGTGTGTTAAAATAAGCAGGTCAGGGCCCTTCCCCCAGACATGGGTTCCACAAGTGGCCAGAAGTTCTTCATCTGTCACAACCCAGGTGATCGTGATGCAGTATAGAGCAGACACTGCAGTTCACCATAGCCATTTCCCCTTAATCTTCATGAAGAATACCCAGATTGTATTAAGGGTGCCAAGTTGAGGTCCCAGTTAAAATTCATGCTAAGATGATAGGTGGGTGTGGTCATGTGACAGTGTTGGCCTGTTTGTGGTGGGGTCTCTTCCTGAAAGTGCCTTGCCTCACTGAAAAGCAAATGGGATGACTGAGTTACAGATGTCATTTTGCCACCCTGAGGATAAAAGTCACAGGCCAAGGATGAAAGAAACGGAGTCTGAAAGGAAACCGGGTCTGTAATAACTTCCTTAGACAGCCAGACAGTCCTGGCTGCAGGACTGCTGTTAGGTGTGGCTGCACCTAACATTTGTTGACATGTAAGGGCTCCACAAGCCACTCTGAGAAATACTGCCCTGTTCTAGCTATCTGGAGGGGCTTGACTTTTTCTCTTGTGTTTTCTTCTATTATGGTTTTCCCTGGAGTAGAGAATCATGTGTTCTTTTAAAATCTTGTTGAAATGAAAAGGAATAATGGATCCTAACTATTAAACAATCACCATAAAATTCAATTTTATTTGACTTTTTAAAGTAAAATGAAAAGTGATATTAAATAGTACTATGCAATGTAAGATTGTTAATTTCTCCTAAACTGCTTTTAATAACTAAGATTATGGAACATGGTTCCATTCTTCAGTATTTATAGATTGAAGATGGGGGGAAATAACTTTACTCTGTAAAATGTTAGGGAGGCACTAGTTATAGCAATAACATATCAAAATTAATAGTTCCTATGCTTTAGATAGTAGTGGGTTAATTGTACAATGCTTTTGATAACTTCTACTCTATCATAGGTTGCTCTCAGCTGGATGCAGGATTTCATTTGCTAAACCATAAGTTTAAGGTATCTGAAGGATTTTGAACATCTCAAGTATAAATGCAACTACTTAAAATCAGAGCTTTTGCAGCAGTCCATCAAAATTGTTTGTAAAATAAACGCAGAGATAAATTGCTTTAGCAGTTTGTGAGTAAACTCCTTGCCAGGTAGTGTTTCAGCACTTGAGTCAGGATATTAGCTCGGTCTCTAAACTGACTCCACGTATCACGTAAGTGCCATTAAAGTCCTTTTCTAAAATGGGATCCAATTTCCAACTAAAAAAGAAAGTCAAAAGTAACATATGAGACTATGAGCATTTCAGAAAAAAAGAAAAACAGTAAGTGCAATGGAAAACCTACTGAAAAGTTTCCATTTAATTATCTGGAACACTCCCTTTAGAAGAGCTTACATATTAAAGACTTTGAGTAAGTACGTAGGCGTGCATCACTATCCCAACAAGCATCATCTTGTAAAGAGATAC